TTTCTGAATATCATAGAAGAGTATACTCAGAAAGATATTATTGAGGGTAGCAGCCAACTTCTTGCTTTACCCATTGACTGCTCTGATGTCTGGGTAACAAAGGGGATGGTGACTTACTTTTCTTTCCCAAAGGCTATTTAGATATGCAAAGTAAAACTGGGAGGACAGAGTAGAAAACTGAGTATGGAAAATATTTAACTTGTCTTTTGTAGTATGATTCCTTGACTAATTTTCCATTGAAGTTCTCATTTTTATTTGCCAGGTTTGTCAAAGGGTGTGCTCACAATGCACGTTTCTGTAGTTGAGTTATAGGACCCTTGAATGTATATTTGGTCTTGGTTGTAGTTTCACTTACTAGGGTATGGCACAGTTTGGTTCCAAGGGCATTGGTTTTATTGTGGGCTGTATAATGTTTTGTGTTAATTCTTACCCCTTTCTCAGCATCAGAGACATCAACACAAACGGATCTTTATAGTAATCCAGTTAGCTTGTTGACTGATTTTTCAAAGTCAGTGTGGTATAAAGCAGTGTTGGCTTCAGTGTGAGCTGTTTCCTTAACTATTTCAGTTAGCCAGCCATAGCAAGAACCAGGAGCATGTGAATTAGAGGTCTGTTTTAAGTATTCAGGTATGGGAGTGACTCTAGTCCATGTTGGGTTCAACTGTTTGGAGGCAAATTGCAGTGCTCTGTTTAGAATAGCATGATCTCCAGAAAGCCAGCAGGGACTTGTTAAGGAGCTTTGGAAAGGTGGACTCTGTGAGACCAGTATAAGGACTATTCAGGAATTGGTTCCAGTTTGGGGACATAATGGAAGAGTCTTAGACCTCTTTCTCAGAGTATGTGAATTCACATGTTAGATCCAAGAGTTTAGCATCATACAATCAGGAATTAGGATGCAAAGGCTCGTAAGTAACAGAGTATTTTAAAAAGCCCTAAATCTAACAGGACTCTCAAAGAGGCATTAAGTTGGGCACCCTGGGTTCTCTTCAGAGGAATCCCACTCTTACTCAGAGCTCTCATTTAGTAGTTAATATTTTCATCTTCCTCATTTCTGATTCTGGTAATGTATCTGCAGTGGGATTTCTGGGACCCAGAAAAAAAGAGTAAGGAGGGGACCAGTAGGTGGTGTGGTGGTTAAGGTGCTGGACACTCCCACATGGCCAACCACAGTTGAGCTCTGGACCTGGTGGCTTGCTTTCTCACTTTCTCTCTCTCTCTTTCTCTGTGTGTGTGTGTGTGAGAGAGAGAGAGAGTGTGTATCTCGCTCTGATCAAATTAAAATAAAATGAATGAATAAATAAAAGAGTAAGGAATCAGAAAAAGGTGATATAAGCCCAGAGAACACTAAGTTGTCAAATAGAAACAAGACATGAAAAATTCTTTCACCAGGATTAATTTGTCTCTCAGTACATTACACACAAAAAGAATGTGTCTAGCCTGCACCACTGTGTAATTCTTCAAAATTGTGCTGTATAATCTTCACTTACAAAGAAGACATCTAATTTTTCAGGAACAGTTCAGCGTGTGTAAGTGTTAGTTGGGCCAGCCAGTGGTGTGGTGATTAAGGTGATGATTCCACATAGTGAACCATGCAGTTCAAGTCCTGAAGACTCAGCAACTCGAGAAACATGCCAGGCATGCATGTGTATACATGCCCAAAATCCCTAAAGGAGGAAAAAATGGAGGAGAAGGGATTGTGGTGTGACCATCCCCCACTGGGAGGTGTTTTAGTTTTTCTCTCTCTCCAGTGAGCACACATGCACTCTGGCAAAAAAAAAAAAAAAAAAGTGTTACTTACCAGTGGCTTAGATCGGAGTATTTCCTTCAAATCCTGGCTGCCCAAGTAGAGTAGTCCTCATCCAGAGAGGCTGATTTTCTTAGTATCATCTCAATTGGCAGTGATGGAGACACTTTGTGTACCTTGTTTCTTTAACAGTGATACTATATCTACTTGGTAATGAAAAGAAGCTCAGTAGTTGACTTGGTTGTCAGCTGGTTTAGCAACTCCTACAGGAGAAATGCGGGATGAGTTGTCATGACATCCAGGTGCAAGGATCCAGTGTTTTTCATGAGTGATGCAAACTGGTGATCCTTAGTAACTGGTGACTTGGCTGTCAGATTATCTGGAATCTCAGACTTAATCTTCAGTTGGGTAGAGGAAAATTGGGAGGGAGGAGAGAATTGAGGATGGGAAAATAATTCAACTTATCTTTTATAGTATGAGTTCTTGACTGATTTCCCATCGAAGTTCTCATTTTTATCTGCAGGGTTTGTCCAAAGGTATGTTCACAATGCACATTTCTAGCTAATTATAAGACCTGTGGGTATATATTTCATAGTTGGTAGTAGTTAGACTTACTAAGTCATGGCATATTCTGGTTTAGTGTGCCCGCCCGCTGGGATTAGTTTAAAGCCTGTCCTGATGGCAGTGCTGCTAGATGTTAGGACTCTTACTGGGACCGCAGAGTTTGGTGATTATGACTAACTCATAAACCATGGAGTGTCCTTTATTCTTTCTTGCCTTAGGCCTACCCGAATACCCCTCGAGGCCTACAGCTACTAGCCATATCCTGTCTGCTCTGCTGGCTCTTCCTATTGACACCACTTCCTGTATAGTTCTGCCTTGTTTTTCAGCTGTTCACTCAGCACTCCATTGTTTGACTGTACCATAATTAATTTAGTCATCACCTGATTGATTAATAGACCTTTAAGCTGCTTCAGGTTTTTTCACTGTTCTCAGCAACGGTGAGATGAGATGAGCATTCTTTTTCATTTATCTCTGTGCTGTACAAACCCTGCCTCAGAATGTTTGTGAAGTGACAAGCAGATTGTTCAGATTGTGATTTGGGGGGTAGCTGTGGTATGTCTTCTGCTCTGGCTTTATCTTTGGGGAACCAATAAGACATTGGTTAATATTGTCAGAAATCTTCAGGCCACATTCTAGAGGCAGATGGGAGCTGTTGTGTTTTGTTTTCAGATTTAGCTGGAACTGTTTCCTGCTTCCAGGTGTCAGGTGGGTTCTCATAGTGAGATGGAATAAGGGTTTTCTGTGGAGTTCTAGACTGAGGAAGAAGTAAGACTAATGGGTACAAGATACAGTTCCACAGACAGAATCGTTTTGGGTAGGATATTGTAGAGCTTGATTTTCTGACGAATGAGTGAATGGAAGAATGATGGGTTTTTCATAATTGGGTGCATTCGAGCAGAGTCTGGGGAGGTATGAAGGGGAAGTACATGAAGCAAGTTGACTTTAAATCATTCCAGCTTTGGTTGATAACAGCATTCCTGAGCAACACTATGACAGATTAAGATGGGGTGTTATAGCCTGAAGGAGTGGAGTGATTGATGACTGAGGGCCATTCTGGAAGAGGGGAAGCTGAGGCTAGAGGCATCCTGGGGGTAAGCACAAGGAAACCTGGAATTCTGAGTGCAGCCCAGTGAGAGATCTGACCTTGTGTGCACTTCTGATACAATCTTCATGGGCCAGGGGAAACAAGGATAATAAGGGATCTGAGGCAATTGTTGTGGTTGTAGGAGAGACTACATGGGAGTCACCATGTTGGTCCATGCAAGATGTTTCCAGCAAAAGAAATGGGAGAATTGGAGATGCTGGGTCCTGCTTGATTGTGGAAACAAGAGACCAGTTGTACTTGGCAGGACTGGTAGCAGGGGCTGGAGATGGCCTTATGGATTTCATTCAGCATGTATTTATTGTTTAGGTGCTTGGGATAGAGCAATGAATGATAAATGGTAACTATTTCTTCCCTCTTGGAATTCATATTCTAGGGGGAAGGCAAATTATATATAAATAAAATATATGTAATATGTTAGGTATTGATAAATGCTAAAGAGAGAATGCAGGAAAAGGCTGTTAGGTCAGTGGCAGTAAGGTTGAAGTTTTAGAGTGGCTGGAAAAGGAGAACTTTTTCCTTCATACATAGAAGTTTTTGTTTTTTTTTTTTTTGGAGAGATTTTCACTGTAGGGCGCGTGTGCTCGCCAGACAGACAGAGAGAGACATAGAGACAAGCCATGTACATACTGTGAAGGAAGAACATTCCAGGCATTGTAGAGGCTTTGGTGTTGAAACAAGGTTGTCTTATTTGAGGAATGGCAAGCAAGGTGGCTCGAATGGAGTGAGCAAAAAAGAAGACGTTAAGTCAGGTTAGAGAGATCTAGATCTTTCAGGACCTTGTAGGCGATGGTACAGTTTAGATTTTTTCCTGAGAGCAATATGAAATCGTTGGAGGGTTCAGGCAGAGGTCTGACTTCTGTTTTAACAGGATTACTCTGGTTGCTGTCTCATGAACAGCAACCAGAGAAATCCTGGGGTGAAAATGGGGGAATGAGAGTGGGGATAAAGGAGACCAGTTAAAGAAGCTAATGCTATAAGCAAGGTGAGAAATGATGATGGGTTGAACTGGGTAGCAGCAAAGGAAATAGTGAGGAGTTGGACATGAGCAGCTGATGAGGGGTTAGCAGCTGATTAGGGGTTAGGAAAATCAGTGGGACTCTCAAGATCCAGGGCTCGAGGGTTAGTGGGAAATCACTGGAAGAAGAGACCTTTTTGAAGGAGTAGTATCTGGATTGTGTCTGCATTTAGAGCAAAGTTGGGATTGCAATTTAGATTAGGGTCTGACCTGGGTCAGGTGTCAGAGTGAGATTCTCTGAGTCAGATAGTTCTCTGTAAAGATTAAGGCTGGAGTCTGGGTCTGGGCAGCACTGGGTTCAGAGTTGTAGATAGAAACTAATACTCCTTTTCACCATCTTCCCCTTATACCCGTTTGGGCTGGGGTTGTAACTACCATGCCATTGAGCTCACCCAGGGAATTGAGGATTATGAAGGCTATATATAGGGTCTTCTCTTCCTTGGGTGTCGTGGGAGTGGATGCAAGCTAAGCCCTGCCCAGGGGAAGCCTAATGGCTTTTCCAAACAGGGAGCTACAATCAGGGGAGAGTGGTGAAGGATCCCTGGTGCCTGACCTAGCTCATTTTCTTCCAGATGGCCCACTGTGTGACCTTGGTTCAGCTGTCCATTTCCTGTGACCATCTCATTGACAAGGACATTGGCTCCAAGTCTGACCCACTCTGTGTCCTTTTACAGGATGTGGGAGGGGGCAACTGGGCTGAGGTGAGATGAATCATGGAGGCTGGGGTGGAAGGCTAAGACTGTTTTTGGGTGTCAGGTGTCTGACTACAGCGCTTATTGGTCTCTTACCACAGCTTGGCCGAACTGAGCGAGTACGGAACTCTTCAAACCCTGAGTTCTCCAAGACTCTGCAGCTTGAGTACCATTTTGAGACAGTCCAGAAACTACGTTTTGGAATCTATGACATAGACAACAAGACACCAGAACTGGGAGATGATGACTTCCTTGGGGGGGCTGAGTGTTCCCTAGGACAGGTATGTAGAGCCAAGGATTAGATTAGTACCCTTCAGGTACAGGTTCTATAAGGGCCCTATTAGACAGCCTAGCCTGCTTGGAGGTGGGTGTGAGTAGAGAAAGCAGGACCTAACCTTGCCTGAGAACTTGAAACCTACTTCCTTTGTTTTGTTCCAGATTGTGTCCAGCCAGATACTGACTCTACCTTTGATGTTGAAACCTGGAAAACCTGCTGGGCAGGGGACCATAACAGTAAGGAAGAACCCAGCAAGGATGGGGGGAGGGGTTTACATCAGTAAAGACTTCATGAGATAATACAGTCTCTCCTACCTAGGTTTCAGCTCAGGAGCTGAAGGACAACCGTGTGGTAACCATGGAGGTAGAGGCCAGAAACCTAGACAAGAAGGTGTGTCTGCAGATCTGAGAATTAAGGGGAGAAGAAATAGTGTGTGAGAGACAGGGTTGGGGACAGTGGGCTGGCATGGTGGTGGTTTCTTCCAGTCTTATAATTGGAGTCTCTGTGGCATTGGCAGGACTTCCTGGGAAAATCGGATCCATTCTTAGAGTTCTTTCGTCAGGGTGATGGGAAATGGCACCTGGTATACAGATCTGAGGTATGAGACCTGGGATTGGATGGGGTAGGGGTAGGAGAGAGTCTCCTATAGATTGTAACTAGAGAGGTTTGGAACATAGGGAGGAAGAGACTACAGGTGGGAAAGGTGGCAGCTCCTCAAGGACTGGGCCAAGCCAGGCAGGCCAGAGCTCATTGGAGGTCTTGCCCTCTACCTTCAGGTAATCAAGAATAACCTGAACCCTATATGGAAGCGCTTCTCAGTCTCCCTTCAGCATTTCTGTGGTGGTGATCCTAGCGTGCCTATCCAGGTGAGGAGCTTGCCTTCTGAGTGGACTGAGGAGTTGAGGAGAGCCTGGGAGGAAAATAATCCCACCGTTTACCTCCTTTATACACACACACCTACACCTTCCCCTCAGGTACGATGCTCAGACTATGACAGTGATGGGTCACATGATCTCATTGGCACCTTCCACACCAGCTTGGCCCAACTGCAAGCAGTCCCGGTGAGCACTAGCTTGTTCAAAGGTGTTGAGGTGGGCCTAGATGGTTGTAGCCCCAAGGAGAGAGGACAAAGAGGACAGCTCAAATCCTTGGCTGATGCTCTGGGAGTTTTCTAATTTTTCTCCCCTCATCAGGCTGAGTTTGAATGCATCCACCCTGAGAAGCAGCAGAAAAAGAAAAGTTACAAAAACTCTGGAATTATCTTTGTCAAGACTTGCCAGGTAAGACACTGCTCCATGTGACCCAGGCTTTGATTGCTGAGCTGCATGACTCCAGCCCTCATCACCCCAGCCATAATCCTTGTTTCATCTGCAGGTAGAAACAGAATATTCCTTCCTAGACTATGTGATGGGAGGCTGTCAAATCCACTTC